GCCTTCCGGAAGTCCAGGAAGACTATGTCCACTGCTACCCCTGCATCTAATGACTGTTAATTGTGCTTTGACTCCTTGGTCCCCACTGCACTGATTCACCTTTTTCCATCAGGCAGCTCGCATCTCAGGTTTCCTTCTCTGAAATCCCTCCCCTGGCAGACCCCATCCCATTTAAGCTGGGCACCCTTCCCTTCAGGCTCTACCCTGTTGCATCCTACTGCATTCCTGCTGCACTACGCTCTGCTTTTCCAGGGAATCCCATCTTGTCTCCCCTTTGCTTGCCTTGGTCTCCCCCTCCTGTAGGCTTGGGATTTCCTCTGTTGCAACAGTCCTGTGCCTTGTAAAAATCGCTGCATCCGTAAAGCCTGCCTAGGCCAACCCCACCTTTGACCGAACACCGATATGACTCCGTCCTTTGGGTCTCCCAGTGCACTGTGAGTGACCTGTTTAACATGTGAGCTGCTCCTTGTGGATAATGGGATCTATCATGTTCAGGGTTTGGTACATTGGTGACCAACTGGAATAGTGTGGAGGGGCTTACCTCTGCTATAAAATGAAAAGGCTTATCATGAACAGAGCTCTCCCTTTTGGATTTTGGGGGCTCTGTGTGGGTGTTGCTGTTGACACCTGTGCTGCATTCTCTGCCCATGGAAACTGTAAGGGGTACTGAGCACATGACATGCTGAGTTTAGAGACTCTGACCTCTGCCCTTTTCCATGGCACATTGGGGCTCATGTACTTGCCCTTGAAGTGGGGTGGGGAGCCACCTCCTACCTGCTGTTTCATATCTCCCATCTTATTGGAAGTGTCTACTTGTCCACTTCTGCCAGGACACCACTAGGCTATATGGAGTACCCACAAGCTATGCCTTTCCTCCCTTCACCAGCATCTCTTCTGTGCCAGCATCCTAGAGCAGTGGAATGGGTTCGGGAAGATGGTAAATTGACTTCCTTGAATACATTGACCTGATGCCTCCTATCTAAGTGGCTTTCCTTTCCTTCCTTCCCAGGCAATGGCCATCATTAATGGATCTCTGTATGTCTTTGGAGGAACAACTGGCTACATTTACAGCACGGATCTCCATAAATTAGACCTTAACACCAGGGAATGGATACAACTGAAACCAAACAACATGTCCTGCGACATGCCGGAGGAGAGGTGAGACATGGACTTGTTTTAATACTTTCTGTGCGGTCTGCTGTGTTCCAAGATCCATGTGTTGAATAGATGTTTCCAAGGTTTTGTCTGAAAACTAAACCCTGGCTCTCTGCTCTTGTAGCAAATGTATTGTTTCAAGAGAGCCTTCCCAGTAGGGAACAGGCTGCGTTTGTTGGAAGGGAGAGGAACTGAAAGAGCTAAAGGGTCTGTTTGTTGGCACCAGTCCCACGAGTGTTGTGAAATATAAAATTTTTGTAGCTAGGGCTCAACACCTCCAGCTGTTTGGGTCCCAGTTGGGGCAGAGAGAGAAGTCTTATTTAACTAAACTGTGGATTACTAAACAGCAGCAGGGATTTGTCCTGGCTGGTGAGGTGCCGGGGGGAGGAATAGCCCATCACTCAACCAGACTTTATCCCTGTCATGTTCTGTAATGAGGGGTGGGACTGCAGTTCAGTATGGGACCATGCCAGCTTTACACAAGACAGTTGCAACAATACCTTGAGTCCTTTCTAGCTGATCATAAAATCCTAGAGAAGTGGGGCTGGAAGGGACCTCTGGAGGTCACTTCTAGTCCAATCCCCTTCCTGAGACAGTATCATCTCTATCCAAACTATCCCATACAAATCCATAATCTAAACTTTACGTAAGACTGCTGTCAACCCTGACCCAACATAGACCTAACACAGCAACCCTCCACAAGTAAATAGGGGAACCACGGCAGCCAACATCCTGCTTCTATGAAATGTTGTCAATATATACTCAAGAGATCCCTGGTAGAGGGCCATGCCCCCAACTACAGAGGAAGGCAACCCCCCCATCCTCCCCTAGTCCATATCAATCTGACCATGGGGTAAAATGCCTTCCCAACCCCAGATATGGCATCAGTCTGATCCTGAGTGGAGGGGCAAGACCCTCTAGCCAGGAACCTCTGGCTTTAAGTCCCAGCAGGAGCATTGGCACAGCTCAGTCAAAGTCCTCAGTCTTGGCTGCAGCCAACACCCAGTGCCTCTGGGAAGGCTTAATAACACCCTGACACATGTAGCAGAAACGAGGGCAGAGGCAGCCAATGAAGCCCAGAAGCATGGGAAATACCCATGGTAGAACATAGGCATCGCTACACCTAGATCATCCCCAGCCAGTGGCTGTCCAACCTCTTCTTGAGCACTTTTAGTGATGGAGAGTCCACAGCTTCCCTAGGTTGTCTATTCTGCTGCCTCACTTCCAGTTAGTTTAAGATGAAAACCAGGTAAATTAACGAACAGGATTATATGACGTGGTTGCCTGTGGCAATGTGCCTTGCCTTAGGATGTTCCGTCTTTTCCCATGTTCCTACCCTGATGCCTTGTGGCTAATTTAACGCATCATGGTCCTCTTTAACTTATTCTCCTAGAGGGTGTGACCTATGAATTTTGCAGTTTCTCCCTCTGCTTGATGGGTGCTTTCAAACTCCTGACTTGGGAGGCTAATTTTTAGGATCTCAGAGCTCAGGAGTATCAGCCTAAACCCCTGAAGCTAATCACTTTCCAGAATACTTCTTAGTGACTTGCTTGCATTAACATCCTGTGGTACTAAGTGTCTCTGGCTTTGCACCCTCAGGTATAGACATGAAATCGCACATGATGGCCAAAGAATTTATATCTTGGGAGGTGGAACTTCCTGGACAGCTTATTCCTTAGATAAGGTAAAGAGATTTGGACATATTGCACTACAAGGGATGGTGCAGGACAGGACACAACCAGCCTGGTCTCCTTTGCCAACATGGCAATCTAGTCTGCTTGGGGAAGTTGATTGGAATTGGGTGATCAGAAAAGCGTATTACAAAAGCCTTCTTGTTACAAGCTCACGTGGATCCTCAGTGAGCACTGTTTTCTCCTAGAGTAACTTACTTTTGGTGGCCCTGTTGACAGAAATCAGTTTCTCAACATGACTAAAAGAAAAGACTATATTCCTTAGGGCATCTCTGCAGGTGCATCATCTGTGCCCAGATACAAAGGTGCTGAATGGAATTGCCAAGAAAGGGAATTTAATACAATTAGGTTTCCAGTGTCTGCGGGTTTTGTCTTCTACCCCCTTAAAATATATATATTTTTATAGTCAAAGTTTCCTTTTGTTGTGGGAAGGAAATCAATTTTAGATGCCAAAACAGTAAAGAAAAGGGTTTGAAATGATGCAGCCTATTAAAAAGTCTAACGCCACTCAAACCTGTTCTTAACGCTCTGGTCTTTACGTTCTGTATCTCCTTTCCCAAATAAAATCTTGCATTCTAACTATTGTTGAGGGCTGGAGAGGATATTGTTTGTTTTATTTTTAAAACAAGACTTGTATGAATAGACTGGGTGTGCTTTTTCCCTTCAGCTGTGGGATGCTAACAGTAGTTTTCAGTGTAACCATTATAGGTTGGAAGGTGGTTTTCTGATGATGCGGGCAGCGGTTTGATATCCTGGTCTTTTGTCCAAGCACAAGGCAGGGTTTGTTTTTTATAGGGGCCCCCTCAACTCTGCCCAACGGCAATGAGATCAAAGGGGGCTCAGAACCAGGCCAGCATCTCTTCCTGTTGGTCACTGCCATACGTGGTACCGTAAGAGCTGGCAGGGCTAATGCATCCCCTCTGTCCCTCTTAGATCCATGCGTACAACCTTGAAACAAACACCTGGGAGGAAATTGCAACAAAACCCCATGAAAAAATAGGTGAGTTTGGAATTGCACAACGCTTCCACTCCTATAAAAACCCAGGCAGCAGGTAAGATTGCCTCCTATTAAGAGACAAGACCAGGATGCTTTAAAGCCTTCTTAGTACCTGCTGTGTGCTAGAAGGCCTGCGCTGCCTGAGAAACCCAGCTGGTTTGACCCCAACAGCTACAAATAATCTGTATCAGACAGGTTAGTAGTTTAACATCTCACCTTTCTCAAATTGGCAGCTTTGTCGCGTTCAGACCCTCCCTGGGGAGTGAGTTGGACATGTCTGTCACTTCCTAATTCCCTTCAGAACAGTCAGGCTATTAGTCACTAGGGAAGCCTGCAGAGTAAGGGTGAGGAGCTGTGTTATCCTGTAATGGTCCAAACTGGGATGTGGTTCTGTGAGGCCCCCTTCTCCCCTCTCATTAGAGTGTAGGAGACTTTTTGGTGAAATCATTTTATGGAATCAACTGTATAGTTTAGAGAAAAAAACCCTTACTTCTCACGTATTCCCTGTACCATTTGAGGTTACAACTCTGATCTGCATTCTAGAGTTGAAGTGTTGTTAAAATTTAATTATGCTGGCTCTTGGGAAAGAAGGAGAGTTACAATTACTCAGATCTAGTGGAGGAAAAAAAACCATTCTAAACTGGCTAATTGCTTGAGCCTGTTGAACAGGGTGGGATACAAGTCAAATAAATAAGTGACTTTGGGTGGTGTGATCATAATTTTAATTATGGGATTGTTTTTTCTGAAAGAAAAAGTAGAATTATTCTTCAGCGGGCTTGTCCTGACTGGCCCTTGAGTGGTTTAACTGAGATACCACAATTATCAGATGGAATTTGATAATTCTGTTTATGTGTTTGTTTTTTTTTTAAGGTTTCCCAGCAGCTAGAAGATGCCACAGTTGTGTACAAATAAAAAATGGTAAGGACAGCGGTGGATCTGCCTTCTGAAGCCACATGTACATTGAGCACATACCAGTAGTGGTGTGAAATAGCACAAGGGTCCAGGCTCCCTGGCAGGTGATCCAAGAAGCTGTGTTTTGGATCTTAATCTGTTCAGCTGCAAATGAAGGAACAATCCTGTAAGGGGCTTGGCATCCTTCACTCGCACTGACTTCAGTGGAGTTGAGGATGTAGCACCTTGTGGAATTAGTCCCTGCGTCTTATCAGCCAGCTCAGAGGAGAATGAAACCTTCATGGGTCATGTTGCTGAAACCAGCTGCTTTAAGCAGGAGTCTGCAATATCCATAGCAGCTAAACTGCCTGAAAAATTGAGCTGTTCTCTGAACTGTCCTTGTGCCGATGGGACAAGAGGTAAGGAGCGCATCATCTTGTTACAGCCAGGGGTTGGTAACCTTTCAGCAGGCTGAATTAACACAGCACTGTGCTCTTCAGGCCAGAAGTGGGCACTAGATGGTGCATTCTTGTGTAGATATGCTTGGCTGGCTGTAGTTTGCCAGCTCCAGTTTTACACTATCAGGTTTCTGGAACACACAGGACTTCATTTGCTGTTATTCCAGAAAATCCTGAATTAACATGAGGCCATGGGCACGTGGCGGCACACCAACATAAAAGTGTGGGCCTGTGATTATAGAATCATAGAAAATTCAGGTTGGCAGGGACTTCAGGAGGTCACATCTAGTCCAACCCCCTGCTCAGAGCGGGACCAGCCCCAACTACATCATCCCAGCCCAGGCTTTGTCTAGCTGGGTCTTCAAAACCTTCAAGGATGGAGACTCCACCACCTCTCTGGGTGACCTGCTCCAGTGCTCTCTCTAGTGAGAGAGCTTTTCCTAATATCCAACCTAAACTTCCCTTGCTGCAACTTGAGACCGTTTCTCCTTGTTCTGTCATCTCTCACCACAGAGAACATGATCCCTTACTCCAGTATGACTGGCTTGAATATGCTATAAGGTGACCATAAGGAAAAATCAACTGTAAAATGATACCAGTGCACCTGTGTGCATCTGTCATGTGTCCACGGCTAATCCTTGCCTAGTTGTTCATTCAGGGCAAATTAGCTGGGTCCCATTCTCTGGTCACCTAGTGGCAAGGTGCAGGTTCCCAGGGATATATACTCCTGTCTGCTCTGGATCACCTTCTAATTTACATCTACGTGCTAAACCTATGCAAGTCAGACCGGTTCAAAAATGTTGTATAATTGCAGCTGTATAACCGACTATCTGAAATGATTTATGCTTGAATGTGCAGTCACCTCGATGTAGAACAACACATGTCCGCCGTGAATGCACTTCACAACCTAGCCAGCATATGCACAAATGACTTCCCTCCTTCACACTTGTTGTTGATCAGTCACCTTTAATGTCTGCTACATGAAAGGAGGCAGAGCCAGTGCTTTGCATTGGAAATGTTTTAGAAGCAGTGTCATTGGGATTATCTGTGCAGCAGGCTTGTCCTGCTGGTGTACGGATCTCGGAGCTGCATGTGACTTGGATCCAGAGGCAGGGGCAGAGCTGCTTTTGGAAAGTGTGTGTGTAGACATATTGCTGTCTCCTTCCTGCCTTTTTCAAATTATCTTGCTACACATCTCTTTCTTGGATCCACAGCACAGTGTGAAATGCATCTCGGGGGCAGCATATATAAAATGCATACTAATTTAAGAGTGACTGTCTTTTAAAAAGGAGGAACACTAAATATGGCTGCTATGTTCCCACTTCCCAGTGAGGGGAGGTGTGTCAAAGTACTCAGCTGTTTGTCACTGTTAGATCGCCATATGGATGTTTAAGAAGGCTTAAATGGTCTGTACATATGAGAATGGGGGATGAGTCCTTGTGAGGTAGCCTATACCATGGTGAGAGTGTAAGAAACGGTTCTTGCATTGGTCTAAAAGGGGCATTTATTTTAATCCTGATTTTTCTAGAACAGCTTTAGTAACAGGATGTGCTATAGCTCTCAGATGAGCTGGTGATAGCTACTCCCTCTGCTGGGTTAGTCTTTTAAACACTACGGGTTTGTTGTCCCTTCTTGCAGATGTGTTCGTCTGTGGCGGCTACAATGGAGAAGTGATCTTGGGAGACATCTGGCAGCTGAACTTGCAGACGTTCCAGTGGGTGAAGCTCCCAGCTGTCATGCCCGAACCAGTCTATTTTCACTGCGCTGCCGTTACACCAGTAAGTCTTCTGGTCTCTCTCTTCCCAACCTAGACCTAGATTAACTCATTCACTGAACTGTTCTGCAGTCCACATGAACCAGGAGCATTTGGCAGCCTGGACAGGGTTGTGGCTTTAGGCTGCAGGGTGTTAAGCGGTTGATCTCAATGCAGAAATGATTCAGCAGGTGGTGGAGACTGAGGCCAGGCACAAGCCATTGCTTTCTGAGTTCCCTTTTTTGCTGCCATTATACCTGAAGCACAGCAGTCACTGGCTGTCACAGCATATGGCCTGCAATACTGAGAGCAAGGGGCTCTTCTTGCTGTCAGACTAGATAAGAATTCTTATGTGAGCCTCAGGCATCTAGTATTAAACAAGAAAACCAATCCTGTTGCTAAGGCCTCCCCCTGGAGAGATCACGGATTTGAAGAGTTAGGTTAATGTTGTCTTGATGGTACATTCACTGTCCTCTGGAAGCAGGCTGTACAAAGCAAGCTCTAAGCTTACTGAGTTTAGCAGGCATGGTAGGTCAGCCATAGGATCTGTAGCATAACCATCTACTTTGTGGTCTTGGAAAATAAGGTTGGATGGGTCCTCAGACGGTCATCTTGCCCTCAACATCCCCTGCTCAAGACAGGACCACCCTTGTTTGAATTACTGGAGACAAAAATTGGTCTAACCAGCACTAAACAACATGCAGGGATGGAGAGTCCACAGCTTCTCTAGGGAAGCTGCTCCTGGGTTTAACTATCTTTGCAGTTAGAGAGTCCTTCTAGAAATCTGAGCGACTCCAGTGGGACACTTGAGAGTAAGGATTGTGGGCTATGTGTAATCCCTGGGTTGTTATTACAGGGTTGTAATCCCATGCACTACCATTATAAGGGTTGTCATTTAAATTGTTCTTTTATATCAGCTGCATCCATGTCCCTGTGTTCCTGGGAGAGAAAGTTGTGCTCCCTCCACTGGCTGATCAGTATCACAGCACATCATTGTAGCAAACTCAGAATGACTCCTTGGCTAGGGACGGAAATGACACACAAACCAGCATAAGTGATCGGAAGCCAGTTCAAATCTGTAACATAACAGAAGTTCAGTGCACAGGAACCGCTTTCAAAAGGCCAACACCGGTTTAAGATAAAGCTGATGGATGTAGCATCAGACTTAACTGATTTAGGTTAAATTGCTTTATTGACTTCTGTCCCAGATCCCCTCCAGATTCAAGTTAAGCCACAGTCCCCCAGCATCCCAGGACACTTGGCATTTCCCCCGCAAACCCTGGCAGCAGTGCTCTTCTGAGAAGGGCCTGCTCTTACAAAGCACAGCCCCAGCCCTCAACCCACTGTGTATTTAGCTCCGTGTGTGACCTGGAGTAACACCCTTCTTGCCCTGTTCCCCAATAGGCTGGCTGCATGTACGTCCACGGCGGGGTAGTCAACATCCACGAGAACAAACGGACTGGCTCCTTATTTAAGATGTGGCTGGTGGTACCCAGTCTGCTGGAACTGTCATGGGAAAAGCTGCTGGGCTACTTCCCTCATCTAGCAAAGTTCTCCAGGTCTCAGCTCTTGCACCTGGGACTCACACAGGGACTCATCGAGCGGTTGAAATGAGACCTTGCTTGTTCGCCCTCTGCCCTAGAAACACTAACAGAGAGAGGCCGTTCCCCTCCCCTCTCTATTTATGGGTACCACAGATGAAGACGGGCCAAGAAGACGTGAGGATGTGCTTGATGCTTCGCTCGGCAAATCTCTCGGATGCCTTGTCTGCAAACTCTTATTTTAAGTGGATTGAAACTGGCCTTTTATTTATGGATCTGTGTAAATCCACCAGGAATGAAGATGCTTTTCCCGATTCATTTGTCGTGTTGCAGCCACTAGGATGCTTTTTGCATAATGCTTGTAGCCTCGTTGGGGGTGGGGGAGGGGCTTAGGAAACGCCGCGGCTTACGCGCTTACCCATGGTGTTTTTTAACTTATTGTTTCTTGAGACATATTTAACCAAGCAGAGGACAGGAACCGCTGCAGTGCAACCGCATCCTGAAGGAACAGTCGCAGTCCGTGCCCTTGGCTTCTGGTGGCATTCGGCCTCCTAACACCGGAACTGGCCTTGCCTCTGCGAAATGTCCACCCCCGTCTTCCCCAAAGACTTGCATGTGTTACAGGCATGTCCTCATCCTCTTCTGAGTTCTAGGAGATGACTGGAGCATTGCAGTAGAGGCAGGGAACGGAGATCGTCCACGCTGCTTTTGAACTCCCACAGCTGTTTGTAGTGGCGTTGAGGAAGGGTAATTGCTCCTTCTCTTTTCATGTTGAAACATCAGCTTAGCAGGGAGTGGGGAAGCTAGAGATTCCTGCTTGTGCAGATGACTGCAAAGTTCTCTTGGTGGCTGGGAAGGGGTGGTGTGTTCTTAGGAAACTTAACCATATGGATTTTAACACCCATGTAACCTAAGTGTTTTCCTGCCCTTGGTGGCCAGGACATGGTCCAGCTGTGCCAACTTTGCAGCAGTTGCCTGTCTTTTCCCCTTCAGCGTTGGATTTTTCTCTTAGTAGCTTGTCAGTTGCCTGTTTTACTCAGCTGTGGGTTTTTGATGACCCGCTCCCGTGCATGTCCATTTTCTGAAGAGCTGGAAAATCAGCGCATCTACCTTCCCGGGAAATGTAATGCTGTTTTCAAAATTGGTGGGGAGAGATATTGTTTGTCCTTTGCTGTGAATCGTGTTTGCCTTCCTCCAAATTCAGGAAAGGAAGAAACATTGCTCTTCTGGGTCTCTTGTTCCAACCTCACCGTGAAACCTGGCTCTAGAGAATGCAAATGCCCGGCCCTCGAAACTGGAGCACCTGAGTTTGGCGGATCCTGGGTTTGAACAAAACAATTTTCGACCATTTTTAAGTGCCTTTTTAATTAGCTTTCCCAAATAACTCCCTGCCACCTGCCCCTTCCCTCCCCCTGTGAGCGGGATGGGGCGCTTTTATATTTTCCTTTTAAGACATTACTGTAGAGGCAAAGAAATCATAGTAGCAAATTCATACAGTTGATCTGCATCAGGCTCCCAGCTTTGCTCATTAGGGGTCACTTATTGCCTGGCATGTCAGATGTACCCAGCTCTTTCCCATGGTCAATTTTAAATATATAATATAGCTTCTTTCCAAGGCCCCAGCAAAACAAAGGATGGCTCCTTTTCAGCCACGTTGTCCTTTGGGCCCTTGCAACTCCAAAGCCTGCTGCTGCTTGCTCTTTGCTTTTGTGTTGTCCCTGTCCCTTCCATTATACTAGCAAGGAAAATTTCAGTGCCACTTGAAGCCTGCTCAGCCGTGACAGGCTTGATATCTCCCATGTGCTTCTCACCTGTGCTGGTGGTGGACTGTGCTAGTGTTGTGTGACAATGACGATCAGCATTTAGACCCAGAATGTTTCCATGTTTCTTTCTCACCGCCTCTGTTCAGCGGTGAGAGGAGGCCCCCAGTGGGCAGACGGTGTTCGTGGGTGGAGGGCATGTGCACATGGCTTTTTCTTTAAATTTTCTAGCCTCTCTCTTGGTTCTGATCTAAGCCACAGCATCCGAAGTGTCTGCCAGATGCTGCTGATGTGTGCTGAGAGTGTGTGTACAGCTAGGAGTCAGGTGAGCCCATCAGTACCTGGCTGTCCTGGCGGCTCGCAGAGTCCTAAGAGGACAAGTCAGTGAGCCCTCAGTTCCTGAGCTTCTGGTGGTTTTCTAATGAGCAAATCTGCTCACTGTGTGTAGCGTGATCCTCAGGCTGGAGAGCTAGAGAGACGCTGAGCTGCTCTATCAGCCATCTGCTGGTTCCCTGTTGGCCTTAATCTAATGGCTACCGTCTTCTCTCTTGGTGCAATGTCCACACTGAGCCTGTGCCTTTTGGCCTCCAGTGTAACCGGGGCTGTCTTGCACGAGTGGCTGACTTACAAAAGTGCAGCCTCTTCCTTCCCACATCCCCTCGCTGCTCAAACGCTGGGCTGCATCTTTCAGGGATAAATGGCTCTACATCAGTACTCGCCTGTTCAAATCTCTCCCTCTACATCAGTACTCACCTGCTCAAATCTCTTCTTGGCTGAAGTGGCCTCCTGGGCACTCTCTAGGTTGGAATTCATTCCAGTGTTTGCAGGGGGGGTCGTTCATGCCTTGATCCTTCAGGTAATGCATCTGTGCAGCCTTGCAAAAGCCTTTTGCTGCCAGTGCCTGTGACCTACTGTAAGTGCGATGCCTTCACCATGTCTGGGTGGAGCGTGAAACATGGCTTTATGTTGAAGCTGGGCTGGAAGTCCTCGCTCCCCCTTGGATGCACAGTTAGGTTCACTGAGTGCTCCTGCACTAGCACACGGGGCCAGTCCTGCTAACGGCTGGGTATCTGTCCCTTCCAGTGACTTCAGTGGGAACTGAGTGTGCTCACCACTTCAGGATTGAACTGGTTTCATCCTCTCCTTCATCAGCTTCATCGCCTTACACTTTGGTCACTCTCCCTGCACCTCCTCAGCCCTTGGATCAAGTGAAGCAGGAGCACTTCTGCACATGCAAACAAACTTGTCTCTCTGAGTTGGTGAAATCAAGGAACTGGCCCCCTGATCTGTGCTATCTTGTGTTACTAAGCTCTGGGGGACACTGTGGACAGCGATAGGATTGCCTCACTGCTGTCCCACTTCTGAGGGAGAAGAAAAGGCAAGAGAATGGCTTGGATGAGCTGCTTTTGTGTCTCTGATAAAAGGGGACTTGAGTTAAAACAAGCTCTTGGCAGGGAAACCTCTCCTGGTTGTAACAGTTAACGACTGAAGTACCAGTCTGTCTCCAACAGCTCCAGCAGCGTTCCCTCCCATGCCCGTTACCAGTACGATTCTTTACCGGGGCATCTCGGTATTCAACGTGGCCACTCGTCCGATTTGGCATCCAGCAAGCTTTAATCCTAATCCCAAGAGTAAACATCAAATATTACAATATATATCTGATCTGACAGGCAGCGTAAGAGCTTTTATAGTGATTGTCTTCAGTTGACCACCCCTTTGATCCTTTGCTGGGTGTGTGATATTCTTGAGTGTCTTCTGACCCAATTTCAAGGGGCAGAAAACATCTGTTTGCCTCTACCAGTTCTTTCCCTGCTCCGGCTCCCCACTGCCTCTCAGCAGGCAGCTTTTTGGAGGGGTGAGGCGTGTGTTCAAACAGCCAAGCCTCCCTGCATGCCGGCCAGCTTAGGAAGAGAGGATGCCCCGAATTCACATCAGCAGCTGGCTCCCCGGGTAGCTGCTCTTCCACTCTGCTGCCCCTGTTTCAAGGCAAACGGAGGCTTGAACTCTCCGGCTTCGTGACTGAACAAACTTCCTCGACTCTGTTTGGAAATTGTGCCTCTGGCTCACAGCACCTCTTTTGAGGACCCGTCTTCTGCTGCTGGTTACAGAACTGCTTTCAGATGCATCTGGGGTATCCCATTAAAGGCAGCGCAGTGAGTCTTGTCACCTTGGGGAAGAGACTGGTGCTGAAGGCGGCGAGCTCCGCAGGCCGGGCGTCCCACAGAGCAGGGCTCACGTCACCGCTGCATGCTGCGGAGAACAGATCCTAAGCTTTACCTCTCCTTCCTGGGGAAGTGCCTTTCCCCATCTTGTTGTTTCAGAGCCTGGTTTTGCTACTACTGGGAGACATAACCTCAGTTAGACGAGTCGGCTCCTTACCAATTTCAGCTTCTGGCAGCAAGTCGCTGAGATGCTCCTTAGCTTTGTTGTTGCCGAAGAAAACAATATCACATCTCTTCTTCCCACCCCCCCCTTCTCTGAGGTGCGAAGTAACAACTGCAGCATTTCACCTTTTTTGGTGACTAAATTAATTCTGCAAGAAATGGTGCTGCAGCGACAGCATGGCCAACCTGTTCTCAGAGCTGTCCCCCCATGCCCCGTACACCGTGCCGGGGGCTCCACGGGGACCAGGGAGCAATGCCTCGCACATGCCACCCCTTCAGAGTCCAGCCGGGTGGTTTCCGATCCAGCGCAGATCCACCAGCAGCTGTTTCTTTGCTCCTCTTGTGCCCGTGCCCTCAAGTCACTGTGCTGAATGGGGAGGGCAGTCATCTCGCGTGCAGCTGTGAAGGGATCGCTGTACCAACCCAAAGGCCTTTTTCCTGCCTAAGTTCAGAGCAGCAGCTGATTCACAGCTCACCTCTGACCCTGCCCTCTGGATGAAATGTGCCAGCCACAGCCATTTCTAGCCCTTTCAAGGGCTGGTCACCATGTATGTCAATACGGTTCGTGGATGAGGCAAGAACAGCTCAGCTTGGTGCCAGGATGCTTCCCAGACCGAAGGTCAGGTCCTCTACTGCAGCATTCTCTCTCGTCCCTGGAAGCCGCCGGCAGATGCGTGGGACAGCACTCTAGTACTATTCACCTAGGGATACAAAGTCCAAGCAGACACTTGCTTGGATAATAGGAAAAGCCTGCTCTGCGAGAGCCAGTGGGTGCCCTTTTTTTAGGGGGTGAGGAGGGGGTTGGGCAAAACTCCATGCTTGCCTTACTTCCGGTCTGTAAGTCCCGTCCTGTGCACATGTGTGGTGTGGGAGTCTGTGCATGCTGTTGCTGGTGAATGTCCTTTCTCCACCTGCCTCTCTCTTTTTTTTGTGTGACTGAATCCTGTGCGGAGCCGTGCGGAGGTGGGCGGAGGGCTGCAAGCTGCACAGATGTGCTGGCCTGTATTTATGTACCTTGTCAGTGTTTTTGGCTGTTCCCCCTTTTTTTTTGTTTTTTTGTTTTTTTTGTTTTGTTTTTTTTAAAGCTCTGATGAATAAACCTGTCCAGATCTCATACCTTGTTTCTGCACCTCTTCCCTTGCCTCTGATAGTTTGTGGTGTGGAGGTTCGGTCTTTACCAAGGCTGTGGGTCAACCCAACAACCTCATAGTAATAGATCAGCTGTGTTTAATGAGAAGAGGAAGTTTCTAAACCCACTTACCGAGTGAGACAGAAGCCACAGCTGCCAGATCACACCTGAGCAAGTATTAGAAGAGGGTAGCATTGGAAGGGACCCTGCCCTCCCCTTACAGGTGACCCAGGAGGTCACCTGTAAGCCAACCTACTGCTAAGAACAGGATCATCTCTAATTAAACCATCCCGGCCTCATGTCTGTCCAGTGTGCTCTTAAACACATCCAAGGATGGCGATTCCACAGCCTCTTCAGGTGGTCTGTTCAAATGCCTGACCACCCTCATCATGAGCAATTTCTTCCTAATCTGCAACTAGAAGAGCTGAGTATGTGAGGGCCTCCTTGGAAAGAGAGCTGTCACCTGAAATACATAAAACTTTCTACATGTCCATCATCTTAAACCTCCTTGGCAGAAATAAAAGTTGGTGCCTATGTCTCCAACTAAGTTGTGCTTGGTGCTGTCTAAGACCATTGCTCCTCATCTGTCCCCTGTGGGTACTGCCAGAAGACTGCCTCTTCTCATTCCCACACCCCCCGAATAAGACACACACCTTGTTCGTTGGTCTGCCTTCCCAAAAACAAGATTTCTCCAACGTTAGGGTTGCCTAGAGCAGGTATGGAGCTCAGACAGAAGTTGTTGTTTTCTCCCTTTCACAACTGCATTAAATCAGCAGTTCTTGGCTGCTCAGCCAAGAGCTGCAACTGCTGCTGAAGACTGGACTCCATGGGTGGAGCTAGGATTTTGAGAAGAGCTAAAACTAGTCACCAGGATTGTGAAAGAGGAGGAGACATAGGATAGATAACAGAGCAACATTCCCACCTCTGGAGTGAAGAACAAGTAGCAGGATTCAGGTAGATTATAATGAGTCATAAAGCTAATCGACTCTCAGGCCTGCACGAATAAAAAAGCCACTGCTGTTGCCAGTAGTTCTTAAACTAGGTGATCACACCCCTGTATCCCACTCTTGCTCTAGCCCTGCTGGACTCAGTCCCTCCCTCCATGTAGCTGCTGGAGGGAAGAGGAGAGAAAGCAGAAGCGGCCATGTTGCACTGTCTCTGTGCTTCTATTCCAAGGAGAAAAATTCAGCTTCCCGGTTTGAGAGAGAATCCCTGTTTTGGAAGGCTAATTTTTGGGAGAAAGCTGTGTGGTATGCAAATAAACACAGGTAGTCCATCATCAACCTCCCCGTAACCACTGGAGGTGTGAGAATTGCTTGCTCCCTCAACGCTCCTGTAAGTTGTGAGTGCATCCATTTTCCATAAGGGAAATGGGCACACTTGTTAGTCTGGCTTGGGGACCGTTCCTGGATTGCAGATTGCTTTTGGCTCCTTTTTAAGAGGGGAGCTCAAGCTCACTAAAGGCAAGTCCTCGCTTGATTTTGGGAAATATTTGATCTTGCCCTTACCCTGCTTATGCTCTTGCCTGAGACTAGGCACAGAAAGCGGAAGGGACTAGCAAGGGTTTTCTAAAATAGCTGGTTCAGAGGGGCCTGAACTTTTGGGAGGTAATAACTCACTGTTCAGACATTTATCTGATGAAGTAGGTTGTTGGCTACAAGAGCTTCCATTTCCCAGGCACTTGGTTTAGTCTAAAGGGGGCTACCGGTGCTGGTGGGTGGAGGATGCTAGTCCACCTGAGCCAGCCCCATTTGCTTGAGTTCTTCCCCTTTAGTCAAGCCCATAGGCATGAGCAAAGCTGGAGTTTCACTCGGGGCTTTCACTGTTTCCCCCCCTCATACAGGTTTAGCTCTTCCATCAGGACAAGCAGCAGCACCTAACCCAGCTTTGTTCACTCCAGCTTTCCTCCTGGCTCAAGAGAGCTAACAAACTACAGAGCTGCAAAACTGTGTGTTTAAGCCAGGTGCAGGCTCCTGCTTGCTTAGAGAAGGTAGTCCTAGAGGTACTAGCTGCTGTTTGAACATCTTGGGGTTGTCAGCAAGAGCCAAGGAGAGACGGTGGTGTGGAAGCACACACATTTTGATCCCAAGATAAGCTATTCCATTTTGTGACTAGTCTTTCCAAGCTCAAAGCTGGTACTTCCCAGCCACTCAGCAGGACCTGGATGGAGTGAGGATGCCTAGAGCCTCTATGGGGTCAAGGTATAGCTGAGATCCCATCTCAAGCTTTGCCTTACCCTTGTCCTGGTCAAGCTAACTACTAGCACCAGCTGGAGAACCCCCTCTTAGAGGAGCCTAGGGCCTTATGTGAACTATTTGGTATTTCTTCCCCTGCAGTCACTTGGCAAAAATACATGCTGTGCCTCATGCTTTTAGTGGGGGAGTTGAGGTACCCCACAGCATGGGAAGTAGGCACCATCCTCCTGGGTCCTGCAACCTGGGAGCCCTTGCATTCAGATACTAGGTTTAGTGCTATAAGCTTCCCTTCTAGCCCAACCTCAAGGGAGGATTGCTAGCACCACCCCTAGAAGAAACTACAGGTCAGTGAGTGCAGGATCTTTAGTCACTTGCACAGTGATTGTGCAGGCAGAAGCTAGCCTTGTTGTCATTACTGTCTCAGTGCTACAGGAAAAAAAAGATTAAGCTATTGTAGGAATTAAACCTTAAGCAGCATCTGTTGACCTGACAACTGGGAGACCAAGGCTTGATGGTCTAGATGGCCTATGGGTAGTCACAAAAAGGCCATGACCCAGAAACAAGCTGTGCACTGCAGTAGTATAGGCAGGTACAGCCAAGATATCCAAATCATTGCCCATCCACAAGCAAGATGCTCCCAGATCCCCATTTTTGGGGGTGTAGGACAAGTTAAAAGCATTCTGCAGATTTGAGACTGTTAGCAGATTGCAAGCCCAAAACACTTGCATCATCTTGGACACCCAGTGCTGAACACATGCAACCTGTCACCAGTGGCTACTTTTGGTCACTTGTCCACCATCTAGTTCTGTTCACCACCCTGCCCCCCCACACCCCGCCCCCCACCTTCTTCCCCCTCTTGCTCTGCCTGGTTGAACTCTGCCTTACCCCACCTCCCTTTTACTACATGCTGAACTTCTACAAGGGTGGCTTATGTTCTGGGGAAGAGGCAGGCTGTTTTTGGAAGGAGCAGCTTTGCTTAAACAGGAGCTTCTGTGCGCTGAAGAGCTCCAATACATGTGGCAACCGCAGCTCCTAGTTGGGCACCAAAACATTTCCTTAAGGACAGCCAGGTCCTAAGAACACCAGCAGGTTTTTGGATACCTGGATTTTTACAAGCAAGAGACAAGAGAGAGTCAGATCCAGAGACAGCATGGCTGTAGTGGAACAACCTTATTTTAAAACTGCAGGTAGATATGGAAGTAGCTAGATAGCAGATGCTTCAACTCAGTGCCTAATATGAGGACATAAATCAGAAACCAGGTTATTTGTCCAATATAAAGGAACACATTACAAAAGGAGTCATCTGACCCCCAACACTTTCCTGCCCAGGGCAGGGTGTCTGACTATCTATTGAAGGTCCCTTCTAACCCTAACAGGTAGGATTTACAACCCAGGTACAACCTCCTCTTAGAGCCAGCACAGAGAGCCTGCAGAGATGAGGGGGTCAAGGAGTTTAAATTTTTAGTGCTACAGCTAGTGGGCGGTTCAGTAGCCCAATAGCTCTTGACTACCCTTTAGTAGTGGGTAGTAGTACATGCTCCAAATAGCTCTCAAATGCAGGGATGTACCATGAACAGTTACTTGGAGGCTGGCAACAAAGCAGGGACTTTTGGATAAGAGCCTCCCCTTCCCACACACCTGTTCCCTTCCCTATTCCACCTTCTTGTTAATACTAGGGGTCCAGATGGAGTCTCCCAATATTTCCATCTACTCCACCACTCTGCAGCACATCACTTCCAGTGTTAGTTACTCCCCAAGCATGGCTGTAGCCTGCCGGATACACGAGGACCAGTATTTTCATAGAGCAACTATGGAAGAAAAACCTCCATAATGATCAGTCACCTGCAACAGCCCTGGCCCCTAGAGGCAGCCAGTTGCAGAGCCCTTTTGGAAAGGAGCAGACCCATTCCTTGTTCGTACAAAATTGCTTTAATGAGAACAGTTGGAAAAAAAACAAAGACCACTTGGTGCTTTTCAAGTAAGCAAACACCCTTGTGTCATTTCTACAGGCCAGTGTTAGTTTCAGGTTCCCGTGTCCATGATGCCACCTTCGTCCTGCTAGGACATTTGGGTCTTTCCAGACATCGCCTCAGAGCACGCAGCCCTGAGCAGGGAGCAGTCCATCCTTAAGAGCCTAAAAAGTAGACATCTACTGGGCCTCAGGAACTTCAGCTTGTGCATTTCTCTATGCACAGCTCAAGTGTGCTGCTGCCACCACGAATACAGTATGCGAGTGCTTGGGCTTTGAGGCTCCGTCTTGGGTTCAGAAGATGGGCAGTTCAGGCACTCAGTGCCCTTCTCCCAATGCCCAATTCCCAGTAGAGAGAGACTAAAACCTCTGATGGCAGGTTCTTCAGCTTTCCTGTGTTTTAGTTAAAAAACCCCAGACCAGCAAAATCCCTGAGAAACAGCTTTTTGGAGAGAAGCTGATTCCAGGAGGTCTGGAGACAAGGTCCAGTGGAGACAGGCCTCAGCAGCCAGCAGGGGACGGAGCAAAGAAATACACAGCTAGGAGGATGAAGTAGACCATCACCAGGACTGTACCTAGGGAAGAGAGGGAACAGCTATGGTTAGGAGTGGAAGGTGACAGGATCCCATCCTTTCCCGGGGAAAGGCTGTGCCTCCGACAGGCTGATGTTTCACTAGATGGACCTGCAGTGGAGCAGCCAGTTTGCTTGGTGTAGGATCCAAACCTGGATCACTAACTTTTGTGCCTTGCATCTACAAATGCTAGTGAAAGCTCATTTGTGAGGCAGATGATACCATGATTGACATGGTTAGCTGGGATTAAGAGTTCTGGAGTCTACTACTAAAAAGGCAGATCTGGTTCGTAGCTGGGTAATCCAATTAATCTTTTAGCAAGCAAGAAAAGCCAAGTCAGTTTAGATCAGGGAGTGTTGTTTAACTCTTCAAAAAAAAAAAAACAAAAAAAAAAA